TAGGGACTTGTCGTTGAGGTTGGTGACGGGGATTTTGAATCGCGAATGTGCCGTTGTGCCGCCCATAAGCAGCAAAGCTGCCAGCCCAGACGATGCCACAGCAAGCGCGATGTCCCCTTTGTCGCGCACTTTTGCCAGCAGGATTTGAGAGACGTACGACTTTCCTGAGCCTCCTTCGCCTTGGAGGAAGTACGCCTTGCCTGATGCGTGCTCGTATATTTGCGCCAAAACGGTGGCCACAAAGGACCTGTGCTCGTCAGTCATGGTCGCAGCAGTGGCCAACACGTCGTCGAGGGCTGCACGCGTGTACGACGTTTCAATGACATAAAGCCGACTTCTTGGATCGTCTAGTATTTGCCGTTCGCGCAAGTCTCGGAATACTTCGAATTCGTGGAGTTGAGGTAACGTCGGGTAGTCCAAAAGGCTCAGCTGATGATGTTGGAAGCAGTTGTCGATGCTCTTGAGTGTGTAGAACATCGCCTTGCCAAGCATCATGTCTTCACTGAGCGGCTGTGGGAGTGCTTCGTTGGAGCGGCGCAGGTCCCGAAGCCGCTTGTCCATGAAATCTGCTTTGAATTGGTCAAACAGAGCTCCCGTGTGGCTGGCAGGCAATGCACCAAGATGTTGGCAAACAGTTCGTGCAGCTGTCCGTCCATGCAGTCCAACGTGGCTTGTCGAATACATACCACATACTCTTCGTCGTTTTCCAACAGGCCCATGGAGAGTGCAGCTTCTTCGTACGTTGGATACAGAGTTCCGTGAACTGTGCGCAGATCTTCGAAGGAAGTTGGTCCATACTTATGGCAAAGCAGGGTTCGAATGTAGAACCGCTACTTTTGACGCGGACTGACCGAATCAATGCGGCCAATGACCTTGATGTGGTTCTTGCGTCCAACCTACAACTTGGTCTTTTGGTCAAATCGGAAGTACTGCGGGAAGTCCTAGTACAGGCAGTTCTTTGCAGGAACGCCGTTGATCCCGGTCAAGCCTTGCGCGCAAGCGAGGAAGAAGGAGATCAACTTGGTCTTTTGGTTACTGGCAACGACCGATTCTGCGTCGTGGGTTTCTTCGTAGGTGCAATGCTGTTGGTCTTTCTCGTGCACGGCCAATGCTTCGACAGCGTGGGACATCCTTTGCAGGTCGTAGCAGCGGATGCGTGTGATAGCTTCGAGGGAGGTCACGTAGCGTCCTTCAACGTATTCCCGTGCCTCGTCAAGCATGGGCTGGCGTTCTTGGTCGGTGAAGACAGCGTACGTGATCCGATCGCTGCCCTTGTACACGTACTTGTACAGATACTTGACGGCCTTGATGTGTGCAAACCTCGACGTTGATGTGGCTGACCAAGTACTGGTTGTGTGGCACACAGTACTGGTCTGCGGTCGTGTCGCGACGGTACTTGGCATACCCATCGACCCCCTCTGTTGTGGTAGCTTGCAGAGGCTGCGGAAAGCCTTTCTTGCACTTGCCAGTCTTGTCGGTGCAAGCCCTCGCACTTGGAATCGGATGTCCATTGTCGTCGTATTGCACATGCGTGCACGTATGGGTCATGAAGTTCTTCACTGACTCGTGTACCTGGGGGTTCTTGATCTCGTCTGGGATGCG